AGAAAAAAAAAAAAAAAAACGATTCAACCCGAACTTTCCCATTGATTTTGATCCGGTGAATATCGATGAAGATAGATCTCACTCGTGCTTAATCTCGTCACAGTGCCCAGATCCCCATTTCAAGAAACGACATCATAAGCGGCGGGTTTTGCAGAAGCCATTGGTAGATTCTATAATAGACAGTTTAAAGCCAGGAGGGCAGGTATATAATCTGCTTATCCATGACATTCAATGGTTTTTTAGATGTAATGCAATCTGATGAGTCTGATGTTTGAAGTTTTGTTCGATATGATTCAACAGGTGTTCATACAATCCGACGTGCTTGAAGTGGCAGTTGACATGAGACTTTGGTTCGATTCTGTTCCCAATGTTTTGAAACACGTCGACGTGCTCGACCAGAGTCTTTTGTGTGATAAAGATGGATGGTTATTGAACAATCCAATGGGAATAAGGACTGAAAGAGAAATTCACGCTGAATCCGAAGGTGCAAACATTTATAGAAGAATGTATCAGAAGTATGTTTGCATTTGAGTCATCATTCACTGTTTTTTTTTCTTTTCTAGAAATATATTTATTGCATATTTATAATTTTTTTTTTAAATACAACTTTTTATTATTTTCCATATTTATATTCGTGGGTCCCACCTCCTCTAATTAATCCACTTTGTTTCCCACCTGATGGCAACAAAGAGATCCGTGGTCAAAATCAAATTATTATTTATTTATTTTTCTTTTTTGAAAAAAAATGACAAAATCAAAATATGGAGTCCTGACGACCACAAAATTTGATTTCTCTTTTTCTTCTAGAAGTTTCCCTGAATTTGCAATTATTAAATATACTTTCGTTACTTAACATTTAAGGTTAAATAATTAAAGTTCCATCGGTCAATTATTTAGTTCTTATTATTGTTTGGTTTAAAAAGTTAAGTCTATAAATTGTTGTGTATTTTAATTAAAAATAAATATTTTTAAAATTTAACTAAGAACTTACATGGAAACATGAAAATCAATATTAAAAGTTATGAGAAATTAAATCGATTATCAAATATATATAATTAAATTTAAGCTTCTCGGAGATTTTTAAATATATATGAACATTTTAGCATTACGAGACAACTATTTGATCTTGTCACATTTTGTTGTGCGATCAGGATTCATGCTCGTTCTTTGTTCGAATTCTCAATTCAGTTGTGTTGCACTTACTTGTTCTCGAACAAGTCAGTCGACTAAGACTTGGGTCACCATTGACGTGGGTAATGAATGCTCAAGCCTCTAATCCCGCTCTTAGATTACGATTTAAAAAAATAGAGTTAAAGAAAGTTTTGGAAACGTTTAAAAATTTATTTAAGAAAATAAAGTTATGGGTTGATAAGTAATAAGGAGTAATGGTTAGACATATAAAATATTATATATGTAACGCATGAATAATAATGAAAAGTAACTATATTCTTAAATTTTTAGTTGATGGATATTAATATTCACACCTATCTTTCAACCGCTCCTTATTTAAAAAGCAATGAAATTTGGACAGGAAGAACCTAGAGAAAAGTTGGTGCGAAATTGAAGTATTTGATCTTGATCCTATTCATTCAACTATGTCGGTGTTATATATTTCTAAAGATAATGAAATTAAATTCAAAAGCAAATCACGTACTGAGTTTGGACGCGTCGATGCCACGCCAACGCGGTTGATACTCTTCGATCGTACAATCAAAAAGGCGGAGAGATTGGCTACAAATTAATCTCTTGATTTGTTTCTCCTAATCGCCATTTTCACGGAGCACACCAAATTTTCTCTTCTTCGTACGCAATCTCTCTCGCTCTCTCTATTAATTTTCTTCTTGCTCTTTGATTTATTCCGTAGTTTCTTGTGGTTTTGCTTCGATCGAAATCCTGCGTTTTGTCGATTTGTTGCGAGGAGGATTTTTCTGTCTCTGAATCTGCGTTTGATTCCGGAATTTGGTTGTTATCTTCATCATTCATCGCGTATTCAATTTGATGCGTATTCACTTATCTTGTTTTTGATTGTGATCCTGTTCTCGTGAATTTCACTCTGATGATTTTCTTCTTCTTTCTGTTCTTTTTTCGCTCTCTCCGGAACTTTTTGGACTGCGGTCTGAAAATCGATTGAATGTGTGGTTTAAGATCATTTCATGTTCGAGTTTGTCGGTGTTCTTCAGGTCCTCTTGCATTTTATCGCTTGTCCTCACGATAGATAACAACATTAGAAAAGAGTTGTTGATCCATTCTGTTGCGAATGATTTTGCTAGATAATAGGTTGAAGCAACGGGTTGAGTTATCAATTCCTTTGTTTGATTGTTCTTGGTGTAGATATGTAATTTTAGGTTCGAGTTAATCTTATTCGATCCAATGTAATTTTAGTCAGTCTTGAATTTTGTTTGGTATCAACAGAATCAAATGGAGTCTTCGCATATCATCCTCTTGCAGTTTTTCATTTGTATTCATTCTTTCAGTGATATTTATGGCCTTAAAATTTATGTTTTCCTCAATCTTCTAAAGATTAACAATCTTTTGTTTCCATTGTCGATTCATAGTTTGGTTTCTTACTCTTGGAAACTTGAAGAAAAATGGGAGGCGGGAAGGAAGAGGAAAGTAAAGACAAAGGCCTGTTTTCAAGTATGGCGTCGTTTGCTGCAGGGCAGCACTATTCTCATCCTCATGGATATCCACCACCACCACCGTACGCAGGAGCTGGATATCCCCCTCCGGGAGGGTACCCTCCGGCTGGGTATCCACCTCCTGGCGGATATCCTCCGGCTGCGTATCCACCTCCTGGCGGATATCCTCCGGCTGCGTATCCACCTCCTGGCGGATATCCACCGGCTGGCTATCCTCCTCACGGTGCATACCCTCCCGCTGGCTATCCTGCCCCCCATCATTACCCTGGTATTATCTCATTCTACCGTTTGTGTTGATGACTTTGGTAATTAAAATTCTCTTTGAGTTGATTTAATATGAATTTCAATGCTATATTTTCTAAAACCACCCCTTGAACTATAATTCAGGACTAAAAATGTACTTGAATTGAAACTTTATACATTAAAAATTCTCCCTAATTAGGATCCTTTAAATTTTTAGAATTTTAAAATTTTTTTGCATATGAAGCTAGGGGGTTGTTGGTTATCGTCATGATTTTTCGTTACAGGCCACGGAGGCCATGGACTCGGTATGGGGGGGTTGTTGGCTGGTGGTGCAGCTGCTGCAGCCGCTGCTTACGGCGCTCATCATCTTGCTCATGCACGCCCATTTGGGTTTGGTCACGGAAAATTCAAACATGGGAAATTTGGCAAGCGTTGGAAGCATGGAGGAGGCAAATTCAAAAAATGGAAGTGATGAAATTGCTAGAAGCTTATATGTGAGTTCTTAGTCCAAAACCTTCAAGAAAATAAATGAATATTGTATTTTAATGTTCGAGTGTTTATTTCATTACATTGGCTTCTTTTTGTAAAGATTTCAACAATTTTATTATTATATATAGTTTTATCTTTATTTCCCTGTTGATAGATGTGATAATTTGTGATTTTAAAACATTTAAACTAATTCAAAATTAATTTAATGTTTAATTTTAGATATATATTAAACGCAATTTGAAAATTCAAAATAATAAACTAAAGTAATTCCCAACTCTATTAATTTAAGAGCATATGACGGTTCCATTTGAAGAGCCCTTTCCAATTTGATCCCCACATGAATGATTCGGCTTCTGGATTATAAATAAACAAGCAATCTTCAAGAAATGATGTTCCATGGGCACTGTCAATTCTCCTTCATTGGAACAGTCCCAGGAGGGTAAACTTCACCTTCCTCGATTGGTTCACGACAGAACGAGAATTTTGTGCATGGCAATAGCTTACTCGACTGTGTACACAAGCCTCGACCACTGTAGGATCTGTTTAGAGCAACTCAACTCAGTCTAATTAGTCTTAGATAGATTGCCCGAGATATGTCCTCAGCATCGTATTTGGTAAACTCGAATTCGCTTCATGGAACAAATTTTGAAAACTTAAAAGAATTGTCAATGAAATATACAACACCATTGATATCGCAAGCTAATAGAAACAAACCTGTGGAATGCTTGCAGTGCCACATCTAATAACCCATTGATCCAGAGCTCGACGACGCAACGACGACAATTGATCTACTAATCTCGAGGCAGCATTGGTCATGAATGTTTTCTTTCCCACTTACCTTCGCGTCTGCCACCATCCCTTTCCCTTCGTTCTATAACTTGCCTCGACTTGCTGCCTCTTGATCCATGTCTTTGAGAAGACCCAGGCGGACCCGAATGTCCATCAAATATTGAAACTAATTCTGGATCACCAACACTTCCAGTGTCACCTGAATCCTTGCTTCCATCTATATTTTCTTCGTAACTGCTACCACATTCATCTGGACGCTCACGAGATTGTAGGATTGTAGGCAACTGTCCCGAGTATTGTCTCACCCCCGAAAGTACAATGGTTGGTACTCCGGTCATTGATGAATTGGTGGTATTAGAAGTTTCAGTCTGTAAGCCACCGGCACTTGTTCTGGCATTCCCTTCATTGCTTGGTCTGCCATTGTCTCTTTCACGATATCTGTCCCGAGGTCGACTGCCAGGAAAAAGGTTCACCAATACCCTTTTATTCATTCACCCTTTCATGAATTCATGATATGTTCCATCACATTTCAACCTACCTACTATGGGAAGAGGAAGAGAATTCACGTCTTGATGATCGAGGTCCAGACTCGGCCTGCTCCAGTTCACGCTGAAGTTCCCTCTGTAAGCAGATGTACCGTCACCAGAAATTATTACCTTATCATTTTACGACGACGATAAAAATAACCGATGCAAGGAAAAAAAGGCTATTTGTTTGAAGAAAGTTTCAATGAATACGAGGAACACAAACAGAGGAACCCGACAACGAAATTGAGAAGATAATACGATGTATTACTTATTAGAATATCAAAAAAGCTTAAGAAAGCACCCAAGAAGCTGTTTATATATCATATATTAGCAAGAATCACACCATACCTGCATTTGTCTCTCCTTCTCCATATCAAGATTATAGCGCAGCTCCCGGGTTTTTGCACGCTCAAGCTCCAGCAAGCGCTGTCTTTCGATTTCCTTTTCCATTTCAACCGTTCTCTCCCTAAAGTAACCCGACTGTTAGATGGAGAACCCTAAAAAACTTTTTAATTGTTATAAACTGAATTACATGATGCAAGATTCAGCCACTTATAAAACCTGTCAAGTTCTTGCAAAATCTCAGCTTCATGCAATGCAACGTCTTCTAGATATTTGTGCCGTGCTTGTCTCATAAGATGTCTTTTCTGTCGACGAGCTGCTACTTCTACCTGGAGTTTGGATTTTTCTCTGAAACATGAAAGCCAAAGGGTTCGAATTCCAGTTAACGTTATAAGCATACGAAGAAAGTAATGATAATAGGAGGATTTCTTAATTTATTGCATACATGGAGCGAATGGAGTTTTTTATCTGCTGAAGACGTGAATCCACTACCGGAGAGGCTGAAAAGTTTCATTTTCAAACAATCATGAGCAGAAAATTAAGAACAGAACAATGGCGAAAACTTGAAAACCGATATAAGAAAACCCGAAAGCCAATATGACATACAAGTGATTCTCGGAAAATTGTTAAAATCCTTGGATGAATCAGGTTGTTTAAGCTCCTTTTGAGCGAGGTCGAGTTCCAGTTCAGCCTCCTCTAGTTCCTAGACATTGTCAAACAAAGTAACTTCAAGAATGAGCTCTCTGCAGTAACTTTAACAAGAAGACAACACAATAACCAATCTCACCATTGTTTCTTGATCTTTCTTTTGAGAGAATGCATCGAAATATGACTGAGCAGAAGTCATATTCGAAAGGACCTGACGAGCAATTCAGCACAAGTAAGAACAAAGGGGAAGGAAAGCAAGAAATTACAGCTAGTAAGCAACAAATATCTTTTGCAAATTTAATAGAAGGTGAATCAGAGATAGATGAACGACACGAGCTCTAAAAGGTTGAACTTTTGTGCTGACCTGCAGTATCGACTCCCGAATGCTTAGAAAATCTTCATTGAATTGCTTCGGAGAACTTGAAGAGAGCACATCTTTCAGAACCTTCCACATGAGAAGGAAGAAAACCAACAACAAAAAAAAAATGTTATAACTTGCAAAAATACACTAATCACAATTCGCCTCTCTTTAAAAACGTTGTATTCTACGTAGACTTTTGTAAATACGGCTATATATAAGCAGAGGAATGTCGAAGCATTCGAGTGCTTCAAAGGGCAGAAGACAGCAAGTTATATCTAAAGGGAACGTTTAACTTTATCGTCGTTCTACCTCTTTGGCTTCCTCCCCTTCATTTCTCAATCGACATAAGACTTGACAGGCTTTCCTCTCCAAATCTCCGAGTCTGCCATCTAAAAGATGAAATAAAACGTTTATAACATTTGAATAAAGTATTATACAAAATGAAAGAAATAATGAAAGGTTAGTACCAGTCTTTGATGACCCCAAAGCCTCAATATTACTCCAAACACTTTCAGGAATCAAAAAGACATCTTCGACCGGGGAATGGAGGCAAGCGGAGGAAATTAGTGCAAACGAAAGCTGTAGTAATGGGCCCTCAGATGCTGGATGCAAAACCTTTGTGCCATGAATGCAGTCAGCCGATGCTAGCAAGGATTGTAATTCTTGTCGACTAACATACGGGACATAGGCTATAAGAAGTGCCATCGCACGAGTTTTCAAATATAATGATGAGTCAGATGCTGCTAAAGAAGCCACTTGATCCCATGTATGTGAAACCAGATGAGAGAGTGTAGACTCAGAAATAGATACCCCTGAGCCCGTTGAAACGAAACTACTACAAATTTTGGAACATTGTTGTGCAGCAATTCCATCAAAGGCATCTATTCCAACCAAATTACCCAACTGCTGAAGAGCTATGTATCGTTGCTCGGGTTCAGGATGTCCCAGCATTGTGCAGAATAGATCGACCAGAGCAACTTCGTCTCCATTGCCAGTGGCGATGCCTCTCCTGAGTAATGCTGACAACCATTTCTGGGTTTGCAGGCGCCAAGTGAGGCTTGGAGCGTTGCAAGAAACACTCTTGAGTGCAGAACAAATAGTGGAAACAATGGTTTCCAAGTTTAAACTACGAGGCAAATCAAGCAGACAATCAATAACCACAGAAGCAGCTTCCCAGCAACTTTCTTCTTCAAGCTTTACAGCGGTTTCAGCCAATCCCTTAAGACCACCTCTGAAGTAGACGATGAATTGACTGCTCGTCTTAGATAGAGTAGCATGTTCACCCTCTTCCTTTTCAGCACTGCAAGCATTCTGGGCTATGGAAGATAGGCACTGCGAGTAAACCAAACACTCAGCCATCGTCACAGTCAAACTTTTAGCCAGTTGATGATGAAGATTCCAACAGTGCTCGATAGTGGGAAAAAGATGGGAAATAAGGGCCTCGAGATCTTTACGAAATTCTCCTATTTCCTCAACAGTTAATTCAGTATTGTTGCCCTCACTCTTTCTTTCTAAGTTTTCAGAATTGCTATTAGATAGCGGGTTCTCATAAATATCACAGAGAAACCCTGGCTGTGACTTTGACGTCTCTTCAACGAGTACACTAGAGCTTGTATCCTCAAGGTCGGGTAAAGATATCGGAATAGCACCGAATGCTTTTAATTTCTGAAGTAGCAAGCTTCTACAACTTCCCATTACTTCTTGGAATGAACACAGGTAATTGTGGAAACATGAAGTGGGTTGTGATGAGGTAAAATCAACCCAAGTAATTAAGGATTGCAATATTTCCCTCTTGCGTTGAAAAGAGAAGTCGGGAAAGAAGGAAGCCAATACAAAGATAGACAAAGCTTTGTTATAAACTTTTCGAAGAGAATCATCTATCTCGTTCTCCTTGATGTCGTTGAAAAGTTCATGGAAGCACAAAGACTCGAAATTTGTAGAAGAACCATCATCCAATACTTGTTCATCATTCGATATCTTCCGTAAAGAATATGAAATAAGTGGCTTTAACAAAAGCACTACAGATTTGAGAAATGGCACATCGCAGTACTCGGCTCCACAAAGGGAAACTAGCACTTGCACAAGTCGAGGGATCTCGGGAATCATCGATTCCATATGTTCACTTACAATGGCTTCGAGAATATGAAGCACAATGCACTTTGCATTCTTTGAAACATAACCCTTCATGAAATGAGAGCTGGAATGGGAAGTTACATCACTGTGGAAAAATGACCAGGAACAGAGGTCAGAAAACCAGCATAGTATATCAGGCAGGACATTAGGGGAAAGTGATTTCAGTTGCAATCCAACAGCCTCTAATATGACTTCTCCAAAAGCTATAAAGTGATTTCTCATATTAGGAAAGAATTTGCTAAGATCAGGGAAGATAACATAAAATGATCGACCGCCATGCTGTTCAACTGCTCCGAGTTCCTTACTCTCCGAAGGAACATTTCTGCACTCTGTTTCTTC